ATGAACGGGTCTGTAGCTTCCGCTCACTCGCACATCTTAAGGTGTCAGAGCCGTCTGATCACTAACAGTGGGATGTTTCCTTCGCAGTGCGATCGTCTTGCAAGGAAACGTCTCACACTTCTCTGCGGCACGGTCCGCGGGACGGCGTGACGGAGAGTTCGACACCTTTTTGCTTTGCTGGATTGTCGAGATGCACGTTAACGTTGTGAATCCGTCTACAACAAGTATTGTTTGTAGTGGTGTTGATTTTTACTGCACTTCTCCTTTCACCTTTCACATCTGCTCTTTCCTCTCTTTCCCCTCCTGGCCTGTTTGGTCCTGTCCTCAGTATGCGCTGTGTGTGTGTGTGTGTGTGTGTGTGTGTGTGTGTGTTGACTTTCAACCTGGCTCAGCGTCACGGTGCCCACCAGCAGCTGTCTGCGCAACGTGTCATTATGTGGATTACGCTCCTCCGGGCTCCACCTTAATGAGAGGGAGGCGATGAAAGGCAGCATCTTGATGGCGCTGGCCTCCACCATCGGACACACGGCGCGCACACACACACACGCACACACACACACACAAAAACTCTCCCCCACGCAATCGCAAGAGGGCATCTTCCTCTTCAGCCAAGCGCCTGTTTATGTCAGACCTTCACTGTGGGAAAAGCAATGAGTGGAGGCTGGTGTGTTGACGCACTATCCATAGCGGTTTGCATGTCATTATGTGCGGGCGTTTCAGAGCGCCGTGCTCCCCGAGGCGTTACACTTGTTTGTGGTCAAGAGCGACGGATAAAAGAAAAAAATGGCGGCCCGCCACACATCTCGGTCTGGTGTTTCACATCGGCTCGTTCCACGGCCGTCACGAACGCCGGCGAGGGCTTGTGTTTTTACTTGGTGCCTGTGGGACAGTTCAGGCTCGAAGACGTTCCGTCTAAAACTACTGGAGGTGTTTGTATTGTGTGTATATTATAAGGCTTCAGGAGTAACGTGTTCACCCATCCATTAAATAAATATATACATGAATACAAGAACCTCAATGTGCCGTCAATCCTCAAGATCCAGCTGTTACATTGTGCTCACCAGATGTGAAGCAGATGTGTAACACATCACTGAAACATGTGCAGTCCAATGCAGTCATTTCCCTCAGAGAAGATTTCTGTTTGCTAACGCACACAAATATTTCATGTTCATAAAGACACGAGAGGCTAGTGTTAGTGTGTTGTTTTTGTGTACATTAGAAGTGTCAGTGTGTTGTTTTTGTGTACATTAGAAGTGTCAGTGTGTTGTTTTTGTGTACATTAGAAGTGTTAGTGTGTGGTTTTTGTGTACATTAGAAGCGTTAGTGTGTTGTTGTTGTGTACATTAGAAGTGTCAGTGTGTTGTTGTTGTGTACATTAAAAGCGTCAGTGTGTTGTTTTTGTGTAGAAGCGTCAGCGTGTTGTTTTTGTGTAGAAGTGTCAGTGTGTTGTTTTTGTTTAGAAGTGTCAGTGTGTTGTTTTTGTGTAGAAATGTCAGTGTGTTGTTTTTCGTGTACATTATAAGTGTTAGTGTGTGGTTTTTTGTGTACATTAGAAGTCTTAGTGTGTTGTTTTTGTGTACATTAGAAGTGTTAGTGTGTGGTTTTTGTGTACATTAGAAGTAGTGTGTTGTTCCCTTTGTACATTAGAAGTGTTAGTGTGTGGTTTTTGTGTACATTATTAAGTAGTGTGTTGTTTTTTGTGTACATTAGAAGTCTTAGTGTGTTGTTGTTGTGTACATTAGAAGTGTCAGTGTGTTGTTTTTGTGTACATTAGAAGTGTTATTGTGTTGTTTTTGTGTACATTAGAAGTAGTGTGTTGTTTTTGTGTACATTAGAAGTGTTAGTGTGTGGTTTTTGTGTACATTAGAAGTAGTGTGTTGTTTTTTGTGTACATTAGAAGTCTTAGTGTGTTGTTGTGTACATTAGAAGTGTTAGTGTGTTGTTTTTGTGTACATTAGAAGTGTCAGTGTGTTGTTGTTGTGTACATTAGAAGTGTTAGTGTGTTGTTTTTGTGTACATTAGAAGTGTTAGTGGGTTGTTGTTGTGTACATTAGAAGTGTTATTGTGTTGTTTGTGTTGTCTTGTCTATTATTAGGAGTATAAACAGGATGCCGTGTCGTGATGAGGACGGATTTATTTGTGTGTTCTGCTGACAATCACAACGTGTGATCTTCTCACCAGCGTTCAGCGGAGACGACGTGACGATGAAATCACAGCCGATGATGGAGTCTGACGTCTCTTCGCGTCTCCATCAGCTGGGGCTCTTCTTCGCGTTCACCAGCGTGAACGCTGTTAACGCTGCGACCCGAAGTTCCAGAGCGTCGATTCAATGAAGATGGAAAATATCAGAGAGGCCACGAGCGGAACGTTTCTCCTTCTTCTCGCACGGCCACTTGTTGCACTGAAGGATTTGTCGTCGCTAACTGTTGTTCTAAAGAATACATCCATCGATGTGTTTAGTAAGTGTCTGTTTCGTAACGCTCGACCCAACAGGGAGGGACGCACGCCTGAAGGAAGGTCAATGGGGGAGGCGAGGGGGGAGTCGGGGGGGGGGGGGGGGGCCCAAAAGGTCAAACATTTCGACAGTCCAAAGAAGCTCTCTCCCTCTCTCTCCCTCCCGGAAGCCTTTCTGAATCCTAAACCTCCTCCCTTTCTGGTTTTCGGGCTGAACATCTGAACGGCCTGGCCCATTATAGCATCTGGCATTCTGGAAAAAAAAAAAAATGAAAAAAGTTGTAATCCTCAAAAAATGCGTGCTGCAATTTTTTCCTGCAGTGGAAGCCAAACTTTTGAATTTAGCGACGCCCAACAGACCGAATGCAAAGGGTCACGTGTCAGACGAAGTGTCCATAAAGAGTTCTGAAGTAGGGCTTCTTGCTAAATTATAGAAAGTCTGATTTATAAGACAAGACAAGCAAAGACACTTGAGACAACGGTTCATTATTTTAATGCAGAAAGGAAAATGGAATCATTTCATTTGAGCAGCTTCCATGTCTGGAAATGGAAGCGTGTTCCTAGCTTCAGCATTTCATGAAGAAGACGTAAACACGGTGCAACATTGTTCCTGCTTATTTTGGGGCATATACTTAGCATCGTTCACAGTTCCCCCCGAGGAAGAAAGCCCGTCATTATGCCTCATTTCTAAATAGATATGGCGTCTCGGTGCCGCTGGCAGAATTTGACCAGAGGTGGAAATAAATATTCATTATCTCGGACTGCAGCCGACCGCTTTCCTCTCCGCGGGGGTTCGACTCCCTCTCTGTGCTCTGCGCCACTTAATGTGACTGGCTGCTAATAAACTTAATCCGAGTTTGTAGAGGAATCCACTGTATCCTCTACATCCAGCACTTCAAGGCTGCAGCGGGAAGCTAACAGCTAAGCTCAGTAACATGCTCGCATGCACACAGAGAGCCATTCTTAAAATATGCGAAACAAGACGGGTTCATAAGAGAGTCGTGGCCTCCTGCGCGGCCGCCGTGATGTGCACAGCTTCAGCAATAGAAGCGTTGTTTAAGCAGTTTGAATTCTGTTTATGTTTCACTTTCTCTCGTGACATTGAAACACCAACAGAGCACGAATGCAAGATGAAACCTGACTGTCATGATTTCATTTAATAAGAGGAGGTGGGGAGGAAGGGAAACCATGTCACCCCGTAACTTCTCCTCGACTTTTGCCTGATGGAGTGAGTCGGGTGGGGGGGGGATCACCTCTGTTATCAAACAGACCCCTCCCTTCAATGGACTTCTCTCTCTTCAGCAGGTTAACAATATGATATAAGACCATTGATGACATTTACAAGCACACAATGGTTTTACAAAATGGGGATCCCGCGTGTCCCATAAAGGAGCTGCTGCTGGCAGATATGCCTGCAGTGAGTCTGTTTTAGGTGTGTGTGGGGGGGGGGGGGGGACAAAAACAAAGGGTGTGATTACCTGAAAGGGAAGACAGGACCCATTCTCGTTCGCCGAGGAGGTTTTAATGAGCAGTTAGGCAATGGCAAAGCGAGCTTTCTGACACCTTCATTAAATAGACAAAGCCCCCCCCCCTCGTTCCCCCTCCTTGGTCTGCCTATTTTTGTTGTTGTTTGATAACTCTATAATTAACATTGCACCTTGACGTTACGCTTCGTCTCAACGTGTGTTTACAGTTTGATCAGAAGAAGCACAATGGTGACCCTTCCATGTTCATCTCATGTTACAGATGAGTCATCAGCGGGCGCTGCTTCGTCCCGTCCCGTTCCGTCCCGTCCCGTCCCTCCGTTTGAGCAAAGGACACGAGGACTGAGCATCATTCGTCCACATCGGATCAGCACTTTTCTCCAGGGAAGGAACCCGGTGGATTGTGATCTGTTTGCACGTTTGCTTCTTTTCTAAAAGCTCTTTGCACTGCAACCAAACATCACCCTCACATCACACAAGGGCACCGCCCCCCCTCCCCCCCACCCCTTTGGAAAACGAATGTGGGTGAGGCGAGACTGCAAATATTAACCCCGGTTGAAGACGGAAGTTGGCTATTGTTCCCCGGGAGCCTGCATCCAACGCGTCGCCTCGCTTCACGCCGGCTGCGTGGACGAGTGCTGTCTTGTTTAAATATCCACACTGCCCCCCCCCCCCCCCCAAAACACAAAAAAAAACAATTTGTCCCCCCTGCCAAAACAAAGCTCTCCACGTCATAGGGTCCCCCCCGCTGTACCCCACCGCGAGGCGCCCGGGGTGTTGCTTGGAACAGAAACACACGGAACCGGATTTCCCTTCTCCTTATTCTCAGGGAGTTGCTCTACCCCTCAACCGGACCCCCCAGAGGGCCAATGGGGTGCAATCAAACCCCTGGGAACTGCGGGCGAAACTCTGGGGCACCGGGAGAAAGATCCGGGCGAGAAAAGGAAAAACCCGGGCCCTTCTCTGGATCTAGGGGAAACGGGGGATCACGCAGGGACGAGAGTTAGGGAACCCCGTTCATTATTTCTGAGATTAATCGAGTTCATAAAAAGAACGACACGCCCGGCTTCTTGGGTTTGAGGGAGCAGGTTTTGTGAGGGGAAACATGTGGGATGGAGAGCCGGACGTTCTTCCGAGCCCCAGCAGGGTGTAGCACAGTAACACCTCTGCTGAAATGAAATGGACGCTTGATTTCAGCTTCTCCTCCTTGCTTTTCAGGTGAAGAGTAAACGTCTCCCGGCCCTCCGCAGCGCTTGGTGGCCACCGGGATTTACAGCTTGAGCCCGCGGTGACTCTCACGTCCCGGAGAGACGTCGGTTTGCGAGGCTGTTTATAACACGCAGGACTCGGTGTGCGCCGTGAATTCAAATTTTAAAAAACGTCCTGCAGCTAGAAGAATATAATTATCGTTGTTGCCCCAGTTGTTGATGGTTGATCATTGATGCAATCTGCCAAAAGGGTTTTTTTGCAGCCTGCAGCTGTTAGCAATTAGGATGTCAACTCCTGCAGCATGGGAGCTGACATTTTATTGAGATTACATGTTTGCTGTGTTTTGTGTGAGGCTGCTTCACCAAAACCATATGGCCTCAGCTTCATAGCTGCACCCTGCAGAAGCATTTCTGAAATGTGAAACTTAAGGGATTGTTCTTTGCATCGTGAGCATCGTGGCAGCAGAGGGCCGCTCCTAAGACGCACCGCGTGACAATATATCTGCATCTTTCGACATACAAGCTATTATTACCCTTCCCGTCAGCACGACGTAGTTAATGTTGCATGAACACGGCTGAGTGTGCATGAATAATATCAAGAGGAGGATAAATGTGTCTCTTTTTATTCTTCCTCCACATCCAAAAGAACCATAAATTATAACCTGCCTCCTGTAAAGAAAAATATATCCTCAGCTAGCCTAGCTTAGCACGAAGACTGGAAACCCTCTATTGTCGCCTCACTTTTAACTAAAAAAAGAGACGATTGTTTCTGCTTGTTGTAGACAAAGAAAATCACTTATGGTAAAATCGGTCTTTCACAGCAGGACGTCTCAACTGCACATGTTGTTGTTTTCCCGTCACACTGAACTGTGCACGGAAAAATAAACTCAGACTCTCTGCCTGCAGTTGCTCTGTGCCGGTTTCCTTAACAACAGAGGGAAAGAACCCTCAACCCCCCCCCAACACACACACACACACACACACACACACACACACTGCTCCCCCCCCCCTCGTCCCTCCAGCTTGCCCTTTTTAGGCTGTTCCTCTTTTTTTTCCATCTGAAAGGGGGGGATAGTATGACAGCTCTGCCTGCTGCTTGTGGGTGGGAGTCGGGAGAGAGAGAGAGAGAGAGAGGGAGAACTCTGTTACTCACCCAGTCTCCAACTTTGAGAGGAAGTTACCACCTCTTCCCCAGACTTTGTACACACACACACACACACACACACACACGCTCATCTGGGTTTTAGCAGAGCAGCAGCAGGGAATCGACCGGAGCAGAACAGGACTGCTTGTGATGCTCTGCTTCTTCCTGAATTTGGAGGGAAAGAAGGTTCCGCCCGAAGCCGTCTCTGTGGACCGAACCGTTTCAGGGGGACGTTTCTTTTCATCACGGACCGGTGAGTTTGACAGTTTCCCGTGCATGTGTGTAGTGCCGTAGAAACACAGCTTTGTGTCACTCTACTTTTACAATGGAGGAACTTGTAGTTTGTTTTGCATCTCATCAACTGCAACGTTGTTTACAAGGAATGTTTTAGACAACTTTTATATCTGGTTTCAATCACAGCAGCTCCAATACGTTTTTACTTGTGATTGTTTATATTTTCAATATTTTATTTTTTTAAGTGTGGTCCAACATGAGAGTGGTTAAAGCAGAGTAAACCTCTTCATAGAGCCCTTTTGCGAATGCTGTTATGGAATGTTAACTGAATCTCATTATGGTGTAACACACAGTTAAATAAGCAAAACACCCGTCCAAGCAGCGTAGTCCTCCATGTGTGTGTTTTCTGCGTGCATTTAATGTACCGTGGCCGAAGAGCAGCTGATGCTGCAGGTACAGTTGAGACAGGATGGCGAAGCCTTCCTGTGCAGCTGCTGCTGTCCGCTTACCTCGTGGTGATTGATTCATTGACACCCTGCTACACGCAAAACAAACATCCTGTCGCGTTATGTGTTTTTCGTAAGGCCAGAACGGCCGGGATGACAGAATGAGGCGTGTGCACATGGTGCACATGGTAGGCTACACATGGCACATATGGTGCACATGGTAGGCTACACATGGCACATATGGTGCACATGGTAGGCTACACATGGCACATATGGGGCACATGGTACACATGGTGCACGTGGCTTTGTTTCGTTTTCAGCTGTTCCCCCCTTTTTTTAACGTGGACTCACGGAAACACTCATAGGACAGCAGGTGACCATACGCTTCGTGCACCCGTAGCTCCCCCCGTCAGGGAAACGGCCAGGTGAGGGAGGAGGGAGGTGATGGGTGGAGGCGACGCGTGGGCCTCGACCGCTCTCAGGGTGTCAACTTTAACTCACGCGTCCAGGTGGGCCGGCATCACCTCAGCGGCGCTTCCTCCGGGCGATCAGATAACCGCCCATGGGATGAGTGGGAATGGTTGGCTGAGAACCGGCTGGGACGAGGTCACCTCCGGGTTAAACACGCCAGCAGACTTTTCCTTTTCCCAGAACCCCTCCGACCCAGTTATCAGCCGGCCTTCCTTATCAGCCCCGAGGATGGTTGTTTTTGTCCGCTATTTACCCAGAGGTCATAGCTCAGACTGATTTGAACTGCGTGTCCAAATTCCGACCGGTACCAATCGGTGCGCAGGGGGAGATACCAAAAGTTTAACTCAACAAAGCTGAGATCATTCAGGAGAAAATAACCCCAAATAAACTCCTAAAGCAGAAAGCACATCCTTCTTTATTATCTACTTTAGCATAAATGGAACGATCTTCTACTAAATGAAGACTTTCAAGTCATTTTCTCAACAACAACTATAATAATCAGACCAGTCGAGTCGCACCAATCATCATCTTCCGGTTTTAAAACCTTCATAAATACACGTTAGACAATGAAATGATGGTTCAAATGTGAATCCTGAGCTTATTGTCACTTTTAAGACCTTTCGGCCTCCTGACCTCAGAAGCTCCAATCTCCCTGACGTTGAGTGACCAGGAGGATACGATGGAGTGACAAAGAAATCGAAGTTGATGAAATACCGTCTTGCAGCGCTCCCTGGTAGCGGCCTCACCGGTCCGGACGCTCGCCGGCCCACATAGACGTTCGCACGCGCACACATAGTGTACAAGCATGTAGCTAGACACACAAGAAGGCATTTGATTCGTGAATATTATGACTTCATATATTTGATACGGGTGTAAAATGGTATCAGTGAAACGGTGTTGTCCCAAAGTGAAGTTAGTCACAGTCTGGATGCAGAATCAAACGAGACAATCGACGCGATTCCATCGCTGAGAAGATAAGAAGCTCTGATATCTCGTCTTTTCTAGACCGTATTCCTCCGCTCAGCCCCACAAGCAAATGCCTAACACATGACATTCCTCGGCCCCGAAAAACAATGACAAAGTGTTAATTCCATCTCCTCCCCTGAGACACGATGCCGCCAGAAAAGACCCATGAGCAGTGGTTTCTGTTGGATCTGCTTTAAAAAACATGATGTCACTAAAAGACAAAAGAGAACACTGACTACTGATCAGAGGTCTGTAGAAGTAATGCAGGTCCTTTGAACAGCAGAAAACAGGCCACCATCCTTCGCTTCTACTGCACAATACAAACCAAAATGTCCAACGGAATTTCTCAACCCCCCCAGCGTCACCATGTTCCCGAGGTAGAAGGAAATCTACAGAGCCAAACGTACAAAGAGGGCACACGCGTGTTCTGTGCCACGCCGTGATCCGCAGAGGCCGTGTAATTGATCCCGTGTGCGGCGTCGGGCGTGCTGCCGGACGGCGGCCCAGATCGATGAGAAGCCCTGAGATCACGCCTCTGTTTTCGTAACTCCGGGTTTTTTTTATCACCCGAGGAATGTTCATATGAGTCAATGTGAAGATACGGGAAAGTAGACGGACACACACACACAAATAAACCTCGGCAGCAGTCACACACACACACACACACACTTAGATGACGACGGCGTGAAGGCGGGACATGGCATATCTTTGATTCGCGTAGCACAGCGTTCGGGCTCGGCCTCACATCAGGAACACATCTGGGTGCTATTACCCACTTGCCCTCACCCCACGGCTAAGTCCCATATCTCCCGTTACCTGCCACGGTCAACACAATGTGCTCCTCACAGGAGACGCGGCGCACTGTGGTGCGCGTTTCATGACCTGGAGATAAACAGGGATTCATCGGGGTCAAAGGTCGCAGTGACTCTGAGCCAAGCGGGCGTCACATCGGCGCACCGGGTTCGTGGTGCATTTACAACCTCAGCCCCGCTGAAAAAGTCAAATGATAACCAGCAGGACGATGCTCCACTGGTGAGATGCTTTGTTTACTGCTTGAAACGTTTTTTGTCCTTCAAGCAGAAGCTGCAGTTTATTGAGTCAAGAAACAAAGCCAAAAACGTCAACGCACAAAGGTTTCTCTCAGCACGATATCGAACAACACACCATATTCAATAAGCTTTGATGCCATTGAATCCTCTAACGGAACTCACTTGTCACGGTTTGAGTGCTGCACAACCAACGCAGGTTTTCATCTCGATGCTTTTCCAGATAAAACCCAATCAAGAGAAAACTTTAGAAGTTGGGCAGGATTCGAAATCATTGGAGCTGTTGGTCGTAGCAGCTGCTCAGCTGTGATTTAATGTGTGTTCGATTCATTGCTTTCGCCCACAGCGAGTGTTGAGTGTTGATGAGTGGGTCTTTTTTCACGTCCCGATAATTGAGGTTCAGCGTTTTAACTGGCGAGGGTTGGCGTCACCCAGTCGGTGTGACCTCTGGCTGGAGAGAAGGGAGGAGGGCCACTCAAACCAGAGTCTGCTTCTCCTGCTCCTCGTCTCTCTATTCGCAAACACCTGGTCTTCCACACCGACGGCCCCCGCGTCCCCCGTCCTGCTTACGCAGCCACAGTTCTCCTCCAAGTCACATGACATGGAGGACTGGGTTTGCACGGCTTGAAACCCGAGAGCTTCACGTCCAGAGGAACCTGGAGGAGCCGCGGCTCTTACTTTCTACAGAAATGTCCATGGCAACCTTCTTGGATGGGAATAGAGCCCGCTTTGGCTGCGCCCCCCCCCCCCCCCCGCTGAGGTGAGCTTCCACCGGCGCCTCGTGGGGAAAGTAAACGTTTTGGAGTTCCATTTTGATTTAGTGCGTGAAACCTTCTTCTGGCCCGATTGCAGGTGTGTGATACACGACTTTTAGCACATTACAGTTTTAGATTCCTCTGCAGTTCCAAGGTTGCTCAGCTCAGTTCTCCATGAGTCAGAGAGTAACTGTGCCATCCATCCATCCATCCATCCATCTTCAACCGCTTATCCGGGGTCGGGTCGCGGGGGCAACAGCTCCAGCAGGGGACCCCAAACTTCCCTTTCCCGGGCCACATCTACCAGCTCTGACTGGGGGATCCCAAGGCGTTCCCAGGCCAGTGCAGAGATATAATCTCTCCACCTAGTCCTGGGTCTTCCCCGGGGCCTCTTCCCAGCTGGCCGTGCCTGAAACACCTCCCTAGGGAGGCGCCCAGGGGGCATCCTCACCAGATGCCCAAACCACCTCAACTGGCTCCTTTCGACGCAAAGGAGCAGCGGCTCTACTCCGAGCTCCTCGCGAATGGCTGAGCTTCTCACCCTATCCCTAAGGGAGACGCCAGCCACTCTCCTGAGGAAACCCATTTCGGCCGCTTGTACCCGTGACCTAGTTCTTTCGGTCATGACCCATCCTTCATGACCATAGGTGAGGGTAGGAACGAAGATTGACCGGTAGATCGAGAGCTTTGCCTTCCGGCTCAGCTCTCTTTTCGTCACAACGGTGCGGTAAAGCGAGTGCAATACCGCCCCCGCTGCTCCGATTCTCCGGCCAAACTCACACTCCATCTTCCCCTCACTCGTGAACAAGACCCCGAGGTACTTGAACTCCTTCACTTGGGGTAAGGACACATTCCCTACCTGGAGTAGGCAATCCATCGGTTTCCTGCTGAGAACCATGGCCTCAGATTTAGAGGTGCTAATCCTCATCCCGACCGCTTCACACTCGACTGCGAAACGCTCCAGTGAGAGTTGGAGGTCACAGACGGAAGATGCCATCAGGACCACATCATCTGCAAAAAGCAGCGATGAGATCCGCAGCCCCCCGAACTGTAGACCCTCCTCCCCCCGACTACGCCTCGATATCCTGTCCATGAAGACCACAAACAAGATTGGTGACAAGGCGCAGCCCTGGCGAAGGCCAACCCCCACCGGAAACGCCTTCGACTTACTGCCGAGCACCCGAACACAGCTCTCGCTTTGGGCGTACAAGGATTGGATGGCCCCAAGCAAGGACCCCCTCACCCCGTACTCCCGCAGCACCTCCCACAGTATCTCTCGGGGGACCCGGTCATACGCCTTCTCCAAGTCCACAAAACACATGTAGACTGGTTGAGCATACTCCCAAGCCCCCTCTATGATCCTGGAAAGAGTGAAGAGCTGGTCCGTTGTTCCACGACCAGGACGAAAACCGCATTGTTCCTCTTCAATCCTTGGTTCGACTATCGGCCGAACCCTCCTTTCCAGCACCTTAGAGTAGACTTTACCCGGGAGGCTGAGTAGTGTGATACCCCTGTAATTGGCACACACTCTCTGGTCCCCCTTTTTAAAGAGGGGTACCACCACCCCGATCTGCCACTCTTTTGGCACTGTCCCAGACTTCCACGCAATGTTGAAGAGGCGTGTCATCCAAGACAACCCCCCAACACCCATTGCTTTTAGCATCTCTGGACGGATCTCATCAATCCCCGGGGCTTTGCCACTGCGGAGTTGTTTGACTACCTCAGTGACTTCCACCAGGCTAATTGACGATGATCCCTCCTCCGCCTCCAGCTCCGCCTCCACCAAAGAGGGCGTAGTAGTTGGATTCAGGAGTTCCTCAAAGTGTTCCTTCCACCGCCCGATAACCTCCTCAGTCGCGGTCAACAGGGTCCCATCCTTACTGTACACAGCTTGGATGGTTCCCCGTTTCCCCCTCCTGAGGTGCCGGATGGTCTTCCAAAAACACTTTGGTGCCGACCGAAAGTCCTTCTCCATAGTTACCCCGAACTCCTCCCATACTCGCTGCTTTGCCTCCATCACGGCAGAGGCTGCTGCCCTTCGAGCCTGTCGGTACACTGCAACTGCCTCTGGAGTCCCACCGGATATCATAACCCGGAAGGCCTCCTTCTTCAGTCGGACGGCTTCCCTGACCACCGGTGTCCACCACGGAGTTCGAGGGTTACCGCCCCTTGATGCACCTAAGACCTTGAGGCCACAACTCACCGCCGCGGCTTCAGCAATGGAGGTTTTGAACATAGACCACTCTGGTTCAATGTCCCCTACCTCCACAGGAATGTGAGAGAAGCTCCGCCGGAGGTGTGAGTTGAAAATCTTTTGGACCGGGGCCTCCTCCAGACGTTCCCAGTTCACCCTCACTACACGCTTGGGTTTACCGGGTCTGTCCCGAGTCTTCCCCCATCCTCTGACCCAGCTCACAACCAGATGGTGATCAGTTGACAGCTCTGCCCCTCTCTTTACCCGAGTGTCCAGAACATGCGGCCTCAGATCAGACGATACGATTACAAAATCGATCATTGATCTTTGGCCTAGGGTGCTCTGGTACCACGTACACTTATGAACATCCTTATGTTCGAACATGGTGTTTGTTATGGACAATCCGTGACTAGCACAGAAGTCCAGTAACAAACACCCGCTCGGGTTCAGATCAGGGAGGCCATTCCTCCCAATCACGCCTCTCCAGTTATCTCCATCGTCGCCCACGTGCGCATTGAAGTCTCCCAGTAGGACTATGGAGTCCCCTACAGGAGCCCCATGCAGGACTCCATTCAGGGTCTCCAAAAAGGCCGAATACTCTGAGCTGCTGTTTGGTGCATATGCACAGACAACAGTCAGAGTTTTCCCCCCCACCACCCGAAGGCGTAGGGAGGCGACCCTTTTGTCCACTGGGGTAAACTCCAATGTAGCAGCACTCAGCCGGGGACTTATGAGTATCCCCACACCCGCCTGGCGCCTCACACCATGGGCCACTCCGGAGTAGAATAGAGTCCACCCCCTATCCAGGAGTTTGGTTCCAGAGCCGAGGCTGTGCGTAGAGGTAAGCCCCACCAGATCCAACTGATAACGCTCCACCTCCCGCACAAGCTCCGGCTCCTTCCCCCCCAGAGAGGTTACGTTCCACGTCCCCAGAGCCAGCATCTGCCGCCCAGGTCTGTTCCGTCTAGACCCCCCACTGTCACTGCCACCCTTGTAGCAGCGCACCCGACCCCATCGGTTTCCTCCACAGGTGGTGAGCCCATGGGGAGTAGAGTGTTGGGCTGCCGCGTCACTCCTTCGGGCTGTGCCCGGCCGGGCTCCGCGGTAAACCCGGCCACCAGACGCTCGCTGTGCCAAGGCTGTGATTCAGTTTATCTTGGCGGAACATGCAGAAGTTTCAGAATTTGCACTGCGAGCTGAAAATATTGAATAAATTCCCCAGATTGGCTTGTTTGATTCTGTGCATCATTGAATCCCGACTGCTTGTTCTCAGCGGCAGCCAGAGAATCAGGGCAGGGACGCTTAAATGAACCCAATCCAGAGCAAAGACACTTCGTAAGATGCCATAAATACCAACGGCTAACGCCGTGACCTCCACCGGAGCCTGTGTGCGGACTTCACTTCATGTTTAAAACGTGATCACAATCAATATTTTCATTTTGCAAACCAGAGAAAGGCTGCACGCCGAGCCGGGAATTGTTGCGGCTGCACTGAAATTCAAGGTATTTAAAATATTCCTTTCTCCATGCGGCCTGGCGTGTGTCATCACAATGAGGAAAAAAACGCCGGCTTGCTCTCTTGTGTAATCTGAACTTTTCATCTTCGGGGTGTATAAAAGCAATGTGGCTTGACTCCCTGCAGAAATCCTGGTGAAGGGTTGTGGATTTCCCCATTGTGCAACGACAGCATCGTGGACGGGTTATGAAGGAAGCACTGGTGTGAGCTTCTATTCCGTTGGGGCGGCAACCAATCAATCAGCTGCAGAAAGCAGCTCATTCATTCTGTTTTTACGTACTTATCTCAGACAGCGGCAGTGACCTGACGACCTGGATGTTGTCCCTGCGGAAAAGAGACGAACCCTGCGGGAAGGGCAGCGCCGTTGTGGTTTTCTCCAAGTGCGCGACGACGAAATACGGGATAGTTTGGTGCTTTTCTGCAGCTCCTCAAACCAAAACAGTGCACAGACAGAAATAGCGTTTGACCTCTTCTCGGGCCACAATGTGTATTTATGCTGCCGGCGGCCTGAAGACATTCCCCCGTCTGACCGTCCGTAAATAACCCGCCGCGGACATTAGCCGAGCTAACCAATGGCTTGTTTGCTGAGATTACTTTTTGTTTTGATTTAATATGGGATGAAGAGTTTTCGACGTGTGTTTCCTGCACTATTTAAGGCCTGTCAGGATGGGAGATGATTTAATAGGCAGGCAGGAAGGGGATGGCTGAGTGTTTGACCTCAGGATATGAGGCCGGGGAAGACAAACGATAAGCTAGCAGGGACAAAAAATAGGACTAAACATTAACGTCACAGAAGCTCAGACAAGGCGCAGAGTCACGTGCCGCCGCTTGTCAACCCAGTGAATTGTCTTTTGTTTCATGCGCTCCATCAAACAGCATAAATTATGTTTAAGATGTTTAAATGAGCTCCAACAGAAATGCTTTGGAACTATTTTTTGGAAACTGCAGGTTTTCCGCACAAAAACACCAAACGGTGTGCAGGTTTTTGCAATATGAGCACTCCCCAAAAAATAACAGGAGCTTTATTTGTTACATTTTTGCCAAAGTGACAAAATCGCTAAATATCTCTTGGGTTTGTTCTTTTTTATTAATCAAGTCGCCATGGTTAGTGTCAGTAATGGATTACTTCAGGATCATTTGTTAAAAAAGACGGTTGGTTTCACTCATAATATTTACCAGGCGTTTTATATTGCAGCTTAAGTTTTAGTAAAACAAGATGGGACCAAATTCTACACTAAATTGCCGATGCATGTTGTAATTGAGGCCTCATTTTCAAGGCCGCGGGGCAGGGCAACATCTGCAACAGGAGAAGCCAGTTGGGTCCCTTTGCGTAAATGTCTGAAAGCTGAGTCACGGGACGGTAAGGCTCCATAGCGAGGAGGAGGCCTGTTCATAATTTTACCTCTTGACGAAAAACAAAAGGGAAAGGAAGGAAGCTGGACCGGAAGTCCGTGCGTAGGTCCGTCCCTACGCTGCTCTGCAGAAACAAAAAGGCCCATCGTCTCGCTCCTGCGGGGCGGGAGGGGGGGGGCATGTTACCATAGTGACCCCCGTGTCGCTCAGGCCCCCCCCCCTTCCCGAGCTCTGTCTCGCTCAGGCGCGTCGCAGTGTACACACAATGCAGCGAGAGTCAGCGAGATGTAAATCCGCCCTGGAAAGCACCGAGGCTCCGTTAAACCAACCACAGCTGGCAGGGGGACCGTTCACAGGCCTCCATCCCTCACCTGCCGCGCAAAGCACCAACCCCGCCAGCTGTTGTGGCCCTTTTATTGGGTCTGTGAAAGTCATTCCGCGAGCCTGCATCCTGCTACGGATGTGAGGGAAGTTTTAAACTACGGATTTAAGCTCTTGTTGTACTAAAATTACAATCCTCTCTGAGAGAACATTTAAACAACCATGGCACTGTAGCTTTAACCGTATTTCTCCAACTCCAACTTCTGTGGCGCCCTGGTGCAGTCCAACGCGACGGCGGCATTGACTGCCCCCTGCGTGACGGACATTTAGTTTACAGTCAACAAAGCCTGGTTATAATACTAGACTTTGTGGCAGTATTGGATTGCATTGAGCTGCATTTGCGTCCCCGCAACGTGGAGAACGTGCATTCCTGGGTTTCCCCCCCCCCCCCCCAACCCCCCACACACAGGCTCAGGGCGGCACAGTGGAACCAGTGAGAAGCGAAAAGCCTCCTGCCGGAGCGCGTATCCCTCCACGGCGCTGTTTGCATTGCAGACGCCTCACTGGAGTCTGGATCTAATGTGGCTTGACGTCGGCCTGTGTGTTGTGTTCGCTCTCTTCGCAGCGGCGGCCAAACGAACGCTTTAGCCTGAGGACCGAAGATCGCCGCGGGCCCTGCTCCAGCAGCGAGGCAGAGGAGGACAGAGGTCCTTTTGCTTCCATTATCTAACTCCTCTCACGGCGAGAGCTCCATCTGAGGACCCTGCTCCAAAAGCCTGGTTTTGTGGTGAGCTTTTTCCTTTTTATTTTACACGTTCACTTCTGCTTTTTGCGTGAGACTGTTTGTTGTGTTTTAAAGTCCATTAGTGAGCCGCATTACATGGGTTGAAGTGTGTGGTTTTATGCCGTCGGTAGTTTGGAAGTAAATGCAAACACAAGTTGAGGACATCCAGATGTTGTGACGTGACACGTGGTTCGACTTAGAGGTCAAGGTGCTCACGTCAGAGCGGGACGGCTTTAGAGTTCGCCGTCATTTCACGCGAGCGTTCATTTCTCTCCTCCACTGCACTCTTTGTGATTCATGGTGCAACACCGCCGGTGGGGGGGGGAAGTAAGCCAGAGTCAGCGGGATGGAGGAGTGGGAGGGCTAAACACCCGATAGGACGTCGGGAAGCGTGAGGAAGCGTGAGGATTCCCGCCTTGAAACACAATAGAGACCCTCAGACCGCCCGGATGCAATGAGGACGCGCGGCCTGAACGTCACGGACAAGTCAAAAACATGCTGCTCTTTGCCTCTGAGCTTCACAAAATCATCCGGGAGTCCCATCAGGCAGGAAGGAGTCCTGAAAATGACCCTTGACCCCTTGATGGAAGGCCGCCGCGAATCAGAGAAAACAGGCGCGGCAGGCGGAGGGCCGCGCGCCCCCCAACGCGTCGGTGATCGAGCCGCCACTTGAGGAGGACACAGAGGAGCTTTTGTTGGGCACCTGGAAGCGTCGCCCCCGTCCAACACTCAGCGGGTTGGACGCCCGGGCGCTGCTCAGAATGTGACACCGGAGGAAGGATGTTCGGGGAATAACAGTAGTGCCGCGCGTGTGTTGTTTTCCAGGTGGGAGGAAATTCAAAGGTCGCCATGGACGTGAAGAAAAAGGAGATGGACCTCCTGAGCAACAGCATAGCGGCATACGCGCACATCAGAGGTAAGTGCAGCGTCGACGGACGGCTCATGGCGAATGAAGTAGCAGCACTTTACGCCACTTTTCTCCATGTTGTTGTTTCCCCCAGCGAACCCGGAGAGCTTGGGCCTTTACTTCGTGCTGGGCGTCTGCTTCGGCCTGGTGCTGACGCTCTGCCTCCTCGTCATCCGCATCTCCTGCAAGCCGCGGGCCGAGCTGGCCGCCGCCACGCCGGAGAAGAAGCACCGCAAGGACGCCAGCGAGGAGGACGACGAGGAGAGCGAGGAGGACGAGGGCGAGGACGGCGAGGACGACGTGGAGGCGCCGGCCCCACCGCCCAGCACGGAAATCCCCGTATCAAACGGGACGCTGAGCGTCAACGTGTTCACCTCGGCCGAGGAGCTGGAGCGGGCTCAGCGGCTGGAGGAGCGGGAGCGGATCATCCGCGAGATCTGGAGGAACGGCCAGCCCGACGTGCTGGGCTCGGGGACGGGCACCATCGGGAGAGTGCATTACTACTGAGAGACGCAAGGCTTCGAGGGGGGGGGACAGACGTAGACATCGGGACGGGGGGGGCGTGTCCCCCGAAGCCTGTGAGACTCAGATACAAGGCAGCGTCGTGGAGACGGGACAGCGGCGGTGGGACACTTTGAGATATTTACGCACTTCCCGCGTAGCGATGCTTTTTTTTTTTTTTTTTTTTACTGGACACGTGAAATATAAAGAGGTGTCTTGAAGACTGATTGGTCCATGTGGACAAGATGCAGTATGAATGTGGGCGCTGACGGGACACTCGAAGTGATCCGTCTGTTCAAATGTACGGTGCTTAATGACGGTCGAGCTTTGTTAGAAGCGGAAAATGAAAGCATATGTTAGGACAATGTACTGTATGTATGTTGCAATGAAGAATCTTTTGTTTGCAGCGAGGACAATGTCCTCTTGGGAAGGGAAACACTCTCAGGAGTTGGGAAAAAGGAAGGAAGTTACACACAAACATATTAATCAATGTGGGGAGTCAAATTCCGCAATTTGACGGAAAGAAAATAACGATTGGTAACTTTAATTTATGAGGGAAATCAAATCCATGTTGTTGGTTTCAGGGTTAATTCCACCAAAGGAAATGACAGGATTAAACTATTATGCTCATTAGATCCTTTGCTGTTGTTTCTCTTCGTATTGCTTCGGGCCATTGATCTATAATCAAGGCTTAAAGTTGAGCGTTGGTGAACCATTTTTTTTTACAGACATGCACGGCCCCCAAAAGGCAAATCCTGCAGACATCCCCATGGCAACCAAGAGATCCCCCCGGCAACCAAGTCCAACCTGATGAAATTCAGATATTTAGGGATCCAAGATAATACTTTTTTTTTTTATGGACTTTCTGGACTTCCTGACAGGGAATCTTTTTTATTTTTCACATAAACAGAGATTGGCCCACACGTTCATGCATTTGGAATGATCCTTTTCATTTGACAGGACGCAAATAAGATGCACATGTGATGAGAGAGGCGACATGTCCGTGTTATGAAACAATACATCAGTAAAAGGAAGCGAGCATCAGCTCCAGCAAGTCACACTTCTGAACCGCATCACATCGTGTGAAGCATCTCTGCAAAGGCACAGACGTTCCTTTATGTGAATTCAGACACCAGCCTTTACAGAAAACACCACCGTAGAGCGATCTTTCACATTTGGCCACTGATTTAATTGATCACGTTTGATTATCGTGGCCAAATTTAAACTTGAATATAAAAGTGCACTAGCTTTGGGGTTATAGTTCCCCTTAAAAATGTTTTCTTTAATATGCTGCAGATTTATCGCCCACGTCCCGTGAGGTCATGAAAATAAACCTTTCTGCATTTCCCAGCTGCTGTCTGTGTTCTCCGTCAGCTCCGCTCCTCTTTCTATACTTCTTTTTTGTATTTGACCTCTAAGCTCAAAAATGCTCCACTTATCAACCCTCAGTTTTCACTTCTCCAAACAGTCCCAGCTTACTTCTTTCATTACAAATATATCACACTGCTGTCAAATGTAAATAAACGGTGTCCTATTATATGCAGCCCGTTGTATAAGCAGCATCCTTCATCACTGACAGTATAGAATAAGTTAGAGGTCCCTCGTTGAATAAATTAAGCTATTCACTTGTTTTTGCAGAGCTCCAGAAAGACCAAATAACCTTTTGTCCAGTGGAATTTATTTCACCCCCGTCTACGAGGGAATGTGCACTTAATGACCGTTACTCGACACAGATTTTAAAAATAGTTGGTTCCCAGGGAAGTTTTAGAAGTACCCGGTCCCTGATGAGTTACAGCTGTTGTCCAGATGCGGCTCTTCACCACCACCGTTGGTGGAAAACCAAATCTATACTACACTCATTCAAGTTAAATGTCTTGACTTATGGTGCGTGAGAATAATGTCTCTAAATTCTCTTCTCTCCTTTGCATTGATCCGAGTTCAGGGTTTGCAGAGTGAGTCAGTTTTTCTACTCAACTGCAAGAAATGCAGCCGGTCACAAACTCCCTTGAACTCCTGATGTGTTTCAATGGTGATTTTTTAAGTTTGTTCAAAAAAGGCCTCCACCGATAACATCAGTGATTTGCGTACGTCTAAAAACATTTGTTCTTTTAAATTAAATGAGTTGTTTTGTATGGTCACAGCGTTCACTAAAAAGTTGACTCTTTATGTAGAATAGTCACAGTGCCCCCCAGTGGATTGATGCAGCATTACATTCTGCTGTAGAAAATCAGCTCCATTAACATTCAAGAAACAAAGCCCTTTTACATGACTCAAAATATAATTTTAGGTCTTTGCAGGCAGACAACACAGTATTTCATCCTATGGACTACTGCATAGACATGTGTTAAAACCATTAGAGACCACAGTAAAGGTGAAAATGCAAAATATGAATTTACAACCCAGAGTAATCGCATTAGAACCGACATTTGTCATTTCCAGCATTTGAATATGTAAAAGACCCAACCAGTTCATTTCAAAGTCTTTGATTATTAAGTTTCTCCAGTCGAGTGCAGGTTTGGGACCATCCTGTGTCCAACTACACCTCGTACTTCGGCCCTTGCTCGTGTTCCTGCAGTGGGACGGCTCGGTCGTCTTCTCCATCCCGATTGCACATCAGAAAAATGTTTATCCAGCACGCAACCCCCACATGACGCAGACGCAGCCCGTGTCGGGATTATTTCTTCCTCATATTGTGCACTTCCTCCTGCAAGAAAAATACATATTCTATTCAACAATACATTTTTACCACAGTCACGATCTTAACAACCACAGCTTCCGCATTATCTTCTCTGGGCAGAATGCCGAAGGCACAAAGTCTGATGGATGGAAGTCGCTGACCTGCAGCGTCTCTCGCTTGTTCCCCTCCGCCCGCAGCTCTTCTCTCACTTCCTGCATGTCTCGGCTGATGAAACGAGACAGAAAAGAAACGATGAGTTTGATTAAATGGGTCAAGATTTACACTACCAGTCAAGTCGTATGAATAAATACATTAGAAATGTAATACATTTATAGTAGCGATTAATTAGGTTGAAATAGAAATGACTTTCATATTATTCTTATCCCTCTAATAAAGCACGAGTAGCTTAGAAATGTTCCAAATACCTTTTCAAATGTCTATAATAAATGTTTTTTAGACAATAGTTATGATTCTTTTATTTTAAACATCGCTCAGCCAAACTAAGTCATCTCTCAGTTCGAATCATACCCACGTTAGTAAAAATGACAGAACTCACTCGTGTTGTCTCTGCAGCAGCTCCAGAGACATCCTCAGCTCTCTGATCTCGGCCTGCAGGCCTTCCACAGTTACATCTTCTTTATGGGTCACAGCTTTGGGCCCCACAGGGACTCTGGGGGGTGCCGGGGGCACCGGGCGAGCCGGCGGCGGCGTCTTGGGCGGTTGATCCGGCTTTGCGGGCGACAGGAGATTCGCTGTATCCTGCGATGCATTTAGGTGGCTCTGTAATACCTTTCCAGTGTTTTCCAGCCCGTGTCATTCTGTGGCCAATTGGGACAAACTTACGGTAACCAGGCCTGACGGCGGCCTCCTGTTGGGGGGTTTGGCTCTGTTGGCTGTAGGATGGCAGAGCTTCTCGGTTTGCACGTCCACGCCATCAAACTGGTCGGCCTCTTTCTCTTCCGGTTGTTTCGGTGAAACGGAAGCCGCGTCCCCGTTCGTGGAGCTGAAAGCAAGATTCAAAACGTAAAACGCAACCATTTATGTCAAGAACTCAAATGCGGGAATCCTTGTTTAGTAAAACTGCAACGTGCTGCCCAGAAGTCGATGTCCGGCTTTGTGCAGGTGCAGAGAGCAGCCAAAGTCTTATTTTGTCACTTTCACGGCTTCAATCAGGCCACAATTTGTTAAAATGAAGACCGTTCTTTTTAGCTGGTTCTCCAAGGCGGCGGCCTTTCTGTTGTCAGTTATTTTTTGTGCGTTTTGCTCAGGAAACAGGAAGCGGGCTGCTCTCGTCTGTTTGGGCCCGATCTGACTCATCCTAGAGTTTCCACAGAGTCCCTAAAAAGGTCGGGCATCCTGGCATTCTTCTGTAAGGACGCCATGGCAACCCGGCGGCAGCAACCAAAACCTTTGCAACATCTAAAAAGGCCCCGCTCCGAGGAGGGGAAAGTGTTCCCGGCGTTTCCTGGAGGCCTTTTGCTTCGGAAAAGGTTGCAAAACGAATTGCTAGTCAGGTCTCTTGATTTGGAGTAAATCTTTAGCGGCGTTGCGTGGAGACACACAACGTCAGCGTCGCACATTTGGCGTCGGCACCACTCACTTGGGCGAAGCCTTGCCGGGTTTGTCTTTGACCGGCGGCGGGCTGGGCTTGAAGGACGGCAGCTTGACTCGGTTTGGAGGGTTACTTCGCAGGTCCTTAACCTGTGGTTTATCATCTGTAGGTGGAACGCAGTCAATTACCCCACCGTAATATGATTATTACTACAAGCTACGGCCTTTTATACCTTTTATCTTTGCAGGACCGGCTTTTTCCATCGCTGAGCCCTCGGTCTTCTCTGAGAAAGTAGAAGTGGATCATTAAGTTGCATTTGGACTGCAGTGTTTTATAGGCCACCCAGTAAGACGCTCAGATCCCAAACTGGGGATTTAGTCAAATAGTCACATTGAGTCCGTCGGCCAGCTTCAAAATGTTTCCCTAAGCAACAACGCTTGAGTGCTCTCGACCAACGTGGCGTCATTGTGCGTAACTATGAATACGGAGCATTATTTCATCAAGGAAATGAATTTAGATCAAATTATTATCCTTCAATCAAACGGCAATCTAGACCAGTGGCATGGAAAGGCACAGATGTAGCACACAAGGTCACAACAGCCCCCCCTCCCTCCATTCAAGGGTCTCAACAAGTCCAACAGAAGATGCGGAGGAGCAATTTGCTGCACACGCACTGTGAAGCCCACTGCTCTAATGCATGGCCCATAGAACACATAGACAACGGTGCTATACTTTGCACACAGCGCTGCATAACGGGCCGCTCGAGGACACGGGAGGCCTACCTCAAAGCATCGCGCGCCGTTCCCCCCCCCGAGCAAACAATCCACACAGCAGAGGCGGCTCGGGTGCTGCTTCTCGTGCCGGTTGTGAAAAATCTCTGTCAGAGCTCTCCTCCGCCCCCCAGCCCCTTGTTTCCTCCAAGACTCCTGAACTGCGTCACATGACCGGTCTAACCATCCCCCACCTCGCTGTAGTAGTTGGAGACTTCCTGTGAAATCTTCTGAGCGTTTGGAAAATCTGCTGTATTGTTGTGGCGCTTAGTTCATTCAGCTGACTTTCACTTTATTCCCACCGTTTCCCCCCCCACAGAGGTTTTTGATGAGCATACATGTTGAGTCTCCAATACAGGAAAGAGTTGAGGGCCTAATTTGTAAAATAGGTTTCTATAATAATTTGCAAATTTGCAGGAGAATGCCACCTGCAGCACAAACAAACCCACATCCGCCTGTGTGTGTGGTTTGCTGATGTCACACCTCTCTTTTTCAAATACAAAAACGTTGGCGAGGCAAATCGTAACATAGGAGTTGATTGTCACATTAAATGCAGTAGAATAAAAAATAAAATATTTGCCTCCAAATTCAAATAATTAAAAAAAAAAGAAAGAAAAAGAGAAATGCATGAAATGTAAATACTTATTATTTAACAGTGAAGGGAGTTCAAGTTGCTCTGGAAAGACATTCTGGGGGACACTTTTGTCTGCTTTCCAGTCAGCGCTCTGCAGCCAGGAGTCACGTGTCAGAAGAGGACCCTTAAAACGTGTCCTACCTGGGACTTTAATGCTGTTGTTGCGTGCAGGCGGTTGGTTTAGGGTCCCGGACTGGAGGAAGAGAAACGAAACGTTCAGCAGGTCGGCAAAGCACGTCCCCCTTGTGAGGCGTAAAAGGCGTCTCCATTTTGCACGTCTTTTCCACCGAGGGAATTTTCAGTGAGTAATTCGGAGAGGATGTCAGAGACGATCCTGACTCACTGCAAACTTGTTAAAGAAACACACGTACCAGCCAGCTGCAGAAAAACCCGTTTGCCCTTTGAGTGTATACAGAACAACAAACAGATACGAGTAAATCCAAAAAAGCAAATCCATCGTTTAACGGAAAACGCACAGCACCCTTCACTCACTTGCAGACTGGTAATCGGTGGGATCAACATGACGAAGTTATCAGGAAAGAAGCCGCAGCGTCCGTTCAGCTCTCCTTCCCACCAGCCTTCATCTTCCGTTTCCTTCACATGGAGATTAAACGCTCCAATTAGAGGCTCAAACAGGCCACGGCCCTTTGGGACGACAAATCGCTGCACGAGGGGTTACCAAGCGGTCAAGCGAGACGTAGTCGTCTTGTTATCGACTTCATCGTGGAATGCATGGCAGACACGTCCGCGTGTGACACGCAGTTTCACATGCATGCGTGCGAAACTGCAAACACCGCGCGTCACCCTGTGCGGCGCGAGGCTCCCTCGACAGGGACCGGTCGGACTGGACGGACGGCGCGATGCTCCTGCAGCGACTTCGGGGAATGCACGTGCAGGCCGAAATACGCGAAGGTGACATACCAGGGAGGGGGGGGTGGGGGGGGGGGAAAGCGGGGGTTGGAACGATGCCAGATCGCGGCGACAAAACAAACCTTTCTCAGCACGACGACGACGTCGCCCTTCTTCAGCGCCAACTCGTCGTCTGTTTTGGGCTGGTAGTCAAACATGACTTGGCAACACTCCACCACTGAGGAGAGAGACGGAAGGAGGACGCAGGTTCAAAACAGAAAAGCATGCGACGAGAAGAAGAACCTTCGACAAAGACGATCATCTCATCAGGTTGGTTTGCAACCGTCACACTACTCAAAGCGTGAACTGAAGAGTTGTGACAGGGTGAAGATAAAAAAAAGTTGTGAACTTTGCCCCCCCCCCACCCCTCCCGAGGGATGTTCCACCGTGAGCCCATTTCAGGTACGACCAATTATCACCCGACTGACCGTTTTTGGTTTTGCTCCGCACACTCGTCCTCTGAGACATCTGCAAAAGGGGACAAAAAGGTGCGTCAAGGCCAAGGTTCACCAAGCAATCCCCCCGACGCTCATTTGTGCTCCGCGTACTTCCTTGTTGAACATCGTGTCCGAGAGCTTGGGCCTCGTCTTTCCCTCGCTGTGCTTTCCGTCTGTAAGAAGAGCACCAGCGACAAGGAGTTACGTCTGTTCTTTTCACGAGAATACGTCCACCGACAGAAGTTCTGGGATTTACCTTTAGGGGAAACGAAAATTTCCTTGACAAAGTTTGAGGGAAATGCGCCAACTTGGCCGTTTTTCACGCCCATCCACCACCCGTCTTCGATCTGTTGGGACGAAATAAGCATCGTCACGGTGCAACAACTCGGCGTTAAACCTTTAACACACACACAGCCTGGAGGTTAATTATGAAGAGAATATAATCCCCAAACAAAAACACAATGCTTCCCCCCCCCGTAACCAAACAGCGCGCCGCGGCCGCTCGGCGCCATTGTCTGGTTATCAGGAGATCAGGTGCGAGTGTTTGAGCAGCGATAAAAAGAGGGGGGACTCGCACCTCTTTGACGATCTCTATCGTCTCCCCCAAAACCAGCTGCAGCTCGTCTTGGCTGACGGGTTCGTAGGCAAACGCCACCTCGCATTTCCTCGTGTGCTTCGCCTGCTTTGCTGGAGAGCGAGAGAGAGGGAGAGAGGGATAACTGCAGTGGACAGCGTGACGATCCAGGAGGACACGGTGGCGCAGATCTAATCCCTCAAAAGGACGGCACGGCGTACATTTACAGCCGGCCCGCTTGCAGGATACCAACCTTAAAGTTACAACAGAGCATTGTGAATAGCACAGATATCGACTGAACTCATTGAATCAATTTCAAATGAAGAGGCGTTATTAGGAGGTTGTACGTTTTCTGATGCTGCGGGGTTCCCTCTCGCCACTCCCGATCAAATAGACCGGCACCTCCTTTCAGGAAAAAAAAAGAAAAGGTGGCACACGGTGAGACAGGCGGACACACACGGTGCAGCAGCAGGACGCCGCCGGTGGCCGCGTGCAGTCGACCGACCTTGGCGAAGTTGGCGGGGAAGATGCCCCGCTTTCCCCTCAGCTCGCCCGCCAGCCATCCCTCCTCGCCGGCCTTGGTGACGTTTACCACCACGTCCCCCATCCTGACCGTGAGCTCGTCTCCCGCGTCGCCCTCGAAGTCCACCAGCACCAGGACCTCTGCAGGGGGGGCCCCCCCGCAAAAACGGGGCAGAGAGAATGAGGCGCTTTGCACGGAGCCCGGTAGGCCCAGTTCACGCGAGAGAGACGCGTTGGGACGTTCCCAGAGCGAAGGCGAACTCTGAGCCAGCGGAGGCCCACGGCAACGTTATCCTCCACAGTCATTCCTTACAAGCAGCGACACGTTTTCAAAAAAAAAGGTGGCGTTTTCCAGCAGCGTTGGAGAACATATCATTAAATCAGAGAGAAGTCTGCCAGCGTTTGTGGGATTTCCAATGGAAAAAAGAACATCTGGTACATGGAAACGCACAAATATAAACACTACGAAACAGCATCTATGCAAAGTTTTATTCGCATGCAAAATCTCAAATCAAATCACGTGACTAAAACCTTTTGATCTGTTCATTACTTTGATTTTCAGATCCTGTTGAGGCGATTAAAACATACACAGCGCACAAGAAAAACAACCCCAACTCACCCATGTTCTCTTTTCGGTCTTTCTCCCTCAGATTTGAACGTGTAATTCCTTCTCAAAGCAACAAAAGCCACCCGAGAAGGAGAAGGAGAACCGAGAGAGAGAGAGAGAGTGCGGTTGCGTTATCTCAGACCGAGAGCCCGTCTTCCTACTTGTCAAACATTAACATTGGGCAAGTTTCCCCGAGGCGCCTCGTGACGAGTCAACAGAGGAGTACAAATGGTCACGCGGCGCAGAGAGGGAGGGGCCGAGGGGGGGGAACAGGTGAGGGGCCGAGCCAGAGGGGGGGGGAGAACAGGTGAGACAGGTTTGCAGTCAAGAGGACAGCAGCTCCTCGGTGAGGCTAAAAAAAAAAAGATTTAAAAAAAAGGAGCATGACGACAAATCCTCAAGCAGACGCCTTTGTGCCGCGCTCAGTCATGACGTCATTGCTCCGGTGCTTTGTCATGTCTTCCCGTTGAATGTCGGTGAGCAGGTTCTCTTTGATTCAATCATCCGCGGTGTGTCAATGAGGCTGTTTGTCTTTTCTTATCATGAGTATGACAATGAGTATCGGGACTTTGTGTTTGTCGCGGGGGACGAACACAGGACACATTTACACACAGAAACGAATATTTCTGCCCCTCGGTTTTCAAAAAAAAAGTTTCTGTTTATATGAACCCGCTTTTTTTGTGTAAATGAAAGGCCAAAACGCATGAAAATATACGCGTTTTCCCATCGTGTAAACGGGGTCTCGGGCTGAGAAATGAACACGACACGTTATCATTGATAGAATCCTGCGCCAATCTTAAGATAACTTAGAACAGAAGCTGGTCGTCTGAGTGTGGGGGGGGGGGTTAGACTGGTGTTTCTAAAAGGTACCTTGACCCCCCACCAAAAACCTTCACCATACACATCCATTCAAACGGATCGGCCCCGCCCTGTTGATTGACTGGCACAGGTGTACTCAATCAACGGGATTGCACCTGGAGATCGAGAGTGAGGTGTCTTGTCCGAGCTGGACGTGTAACAGTACATCAAATAAATACAATGGATGTAAATACACTAAAGCCCATTTAATAACACCTTTTAATATTTCTGTCTGCGTTGGTCTTGATTTTTTTGAAGGTGCAGATAGTCAGACATCAGATCCCCCTCCTTTTGCTAGTTTATATTTATTTGCTGCAGTGTTTCTGGGAGAAATAAGTCTGTTAAGTGACATTTACAACCAGCAGATCGGCACCGGCAAGTGTTTATTCACTAGATGGACGGCACTTTGTCAACTTCCTCTTTGGTCAAACTGTAAAAACTGGCTCCCCATTAATGATAAACCTGAATTTCACTTACATACCATCAAGAAAAATACACCTCAAAACAAACATTGATGTCATCAGTGTCTCTTTTAATTTACATTCTCTAGGAAAAGAAAACAGTAAAAACAACCATTTAGAAAAGCAATATTTCCCAAGCAGGTAACCTTCAAACAATAAAACGAGAATCTCAATCTGGAGGCCGGCATTACACATAAGACCAGCGGACCCGCAGCAAGGCACAGGGACGTGTAATTCAGTTGGGTGGGCGCTTAAGCAAACAGAGATAATCCTAATCCTACACTTTTTATTATTCAGAATTATCAGATAAAAGCACTAAAAACGCACTGAAGCCTGTGATCTATAAACTTGTGTTGAATAAACAAATGCTCCTATCTATCACGATGGAAACACAGTGGAACACAACTACAGTTACACAACCGATTAAAACAGTACGGGAGAAAAGTTTGCAAAACGGCGAATAAAAAACCCAGCGAAATCAACGGCATTTATTTGCAGACAAAAGTCCCGTCGAGCCAGTTAAAAAATATATATAATCACTATCAACATTACACATTGATGAGTGGTTTAGAAGATCAAGCGCTAATGGGACGTTAAATGTAGTTCTCCTCATAGTAACAGTCTCATGTGGTGTCAGAATCGAAGGACAACGAAAGACCGCCGAGCTTAACCTTTTGACCCCGTACAGTTTGGTCCCGCGTCAGATCAGGGGCTTTTGTCGAGCGGCGCGTCGGACAAACGGCGACGTTTTTACACCAGCATGAACTACGGTGTACTCGTTCTAATCAAGACACAGCTCAAAACCAGCACGCCGGCTTTTAAAAAAAAATCATTTCCCTTGTAACCGTTTGCATAAGTAAAAAGGTACCGGCTCACTTGATCTTTGATTTAATATCTCTCGCTGCTTAAAAATGTCAAATTTAGGTAGTCATTTTCATTCCTGTGAGGAAGGAGTAAAATTCCAATCCAACCAATTCAAAGCAATAAAACATTTTAATATGAATCCAACTTTTAGCAATTCTAGCTTAAACAGTGCTTCTACTAGTTATGACCTCGTGTGGGAAATCGTCCCGTCGAGTGAGCGCGAACATCCTACGTCGAAATTAAGGCATAAAAGAGTCTCGATTTGCATTCTTGAACCCATTGCTGTGGATAAATATCCTTTCGGATTCTCGCGACGCGGAAGAAAATGAAGATTCCCACAGCGCTGCTTCACCGGCTCAGGTGTCCTCTCCGTCTTTGTGGTCCTGACGCGTCTCCTGGTGCTCGCCGTTGACCTGGAACTTGTTGTCGTCGGCCCATTTGGGGCCGCCGGTGTTGCGGACGATGAATCGCGCCCTCCCCCGCGAGAAGCTTCCGCGTCCCCGGCCGTCCGCCGCCTTCCCCTCGGCCTCCCGCTCTCTGTCGTCGTGCTGCGAGAGTAGAACAAAGGGGGGAGGAGGGGGAGAAGTTGAAGCTCGCGCTGGGTTAGAAGAAACGACCCCATTCAAACGGGGGAAACCGGAGGCGCGATTTGCGCGAATCAACCCTACCAGGAAGTATTTCCTTCTCTTCTCGGTGTGATCGGCGTCCCAGTCCTCGCTTTCGGGCTGCGCGGCCACGTGTGTCGTCATGTTTCTGTGCGAAGAGCTTCCCCGGTAACTGCCTCCGTTCCAGCTCCGCCCGCGAATACGGACTTGCTGCGGTCAAACCAAAGGATTAGGAAGCGAAGCGAAGCGAGGGGCCGTTGACATCACGCATTAAACTTACAAATCCTCCACGTGGCCTCCCCCGTCCCACCGGTCCCGTGGGCTCCGCTTGACCCGGCTGGGCCCGGTCGCAGCCTTTATCTTTGGGATCAGACGAGTCTTCTTTGCGGGACCGAGAGGCCTCGGAAGACGAGGAGGAACTTGAGCGAGGGCGCTTCTTCTGACTTTTCCTACTGGAGAAAGAGAGTCGTGGATGGGCGCCGTGGGAGACGCAGGTTAGAGGAACACATGGGAAGGTAACTGGCGCACGGCGGTCGCACGTACTTTGACCTTTCGCTGGTTTGGGAAAGCTTCTCCAAGGATCCGTCCCTGCTGGAATCTGGGGAATCTCCCACATCTCCGCCCAGATCCTGGTTAGAATCTCTGTCGTGGGCGGGACATTTTTTACGGCGCTCAATATCCAAACGAAGGTCCATCGGATCGCCTGTTATTTTTTCTCCGCCGTCCTGAGATCCAAAAAAACAAAGCAAAACGTCGTGGACGGACCTTCGGAAGAGCACGCAGATGCAATCTATCTGCGCTCAGTCGAGCTGGTTCCTAAACTGCAGACGGCTCCGGAAAATAAAAGCAAGCTTTGCACTTTGAGGGGCGAAACCCAAAGTATAGCATGTTTTAGGATGACCTTTATAATCTGATCTCCAAAGCAAAGTTTTAGATTGCTTTTTCTACCTTCAAAGCAGCTATTTAAATATAGTAGGAAAAGAAAAGGGAATCCATCACTGTCAACGTAGTCTGCTGTTTTATTGTGTCTTAAGGTTTAAAACGTCAAAGGGGTGCGTGCGGGAAAATCACACACACTTGCTCGTCTTCCACGTGCAGCATTACGCCCTGCAGCCGTTGCATGTGCACAGTGACTTGTTTCCTGTCTCAAGTCACAGTGAGGTATTTTCCTACTGAACTGACATCAACTGAAACAAATAGCTGCTCATTAGGTGGTAAAGCGATCTATGAACTTTGAGGAATGCTTTGGGAAAGGCCTAAACGTTTGGTGTGACTAGCGCGGTTCTTTGACAACAGGGAGGAGAAAGAACGCGAGACCGTTAATGCTCGTTTAGTCTCACTCACTTTAACATGTTTTAATAGTTATCTGCGCCTCGTGTTTGACCACGTGCCCACGCGCATTGATAAAGAAACATTGTGAGTGTTTGATTGAGAGTCAAGCACGTAACATGAGCTCAGGTGCATAAAGTGTGCTTGCGGTTGGTTAATTCCGTTGCTTATTTTTTATCAAAGAATACTTACGAAGACGTTTGCTTAGAGTCCTTTTGAACAGCTGTGGCACAGTGGCTTCCGTTTCTGAACTTATACGCTTCGTTAGCCTCGGTCAGGCTTGTGCCCACATTCTAAGCAATTCACCGTGTGTGAAGGCGAGATATAACCAACGACAAAGTCAAAGTGCCTCATTCAGCGTTTGTTAGACCTCCACAGAGTCGGCCTAAAGGCATCTGGGCTCGTTTGCTGTTCTTTGTTTTGTTTTGCTTTCCAACGTACTTCACTCTGCAAAATGTTCAGTCACCTTGTAAGTGCCATCCTCTGAGTTTTTCATCGCCTCAAAAAGCTGAGAGTGTTTCTGAAAAGCTCTCGGCGAAACGTCAATTCTCCTGCGAGGAGGAAACACAGTTAAGACGAGATGATCGAACCCACAGAGCAAAGGAAGCACCTCAACGAGAATGAAACTGACCTCCGCCCAGCGAGAGACAAAAAAAAATAAGCCGAGATGTTTTTGGTGAGAGAAATACCTGAAAGCTGTTAAAAGAGGAGGAGGAGCCCCAGCACGGAGAAGGTGAGCAGGTCACTCGATGGGCGACTCTACCTGTGTATCTCTGGGCTTTTCCTCGGCTTCGTCATTTCCTTCTCCGCGGCTCGTCTTTGGTACACGGTGAACCGCTCGTTTAGAGTCATGGCGGAGGATGCAAAGTGCTGAGCTGTGCAGGGACGAGGTAAGGAACAGATGTTAAAGGAGTAACTCTCCATCCAATGCTGTGGGAAGTAAAACCAGAGTAAAGCACTTCAGCTCTGAATTTGTTTTTCCCCCGAACTGAAGATTTTGAACTCTTACCAAACCAAACATGGAGATGTTTACTACTACGTTAGAATAGTCCGCCCTGGTAAAGACGGCAGAAGACGTGAGGACCGACCTTTGACTTGGTGGACAATGGTGACGATGTGTTGAGCAAACAGCTCGGAGGGACTTTTCTGTACCGGAGCCGCTTGAACATGTTGAAAGATCGAGCGAAACTCCTGATCCTTTTTTGAGGACTGCACAAGATCTTGAGACAGCTGTCGCTCCTCCGCTAAAATATCCGAAGACCTGAACATGAGAAAAAAATGAATTATGTATTTTGCTTATTGGGAAGAATATAAATGTATCAAACTATAAAACAAGATTTAACATTTATTAATCGCGATTAATGATATTTATCATATATATGATATGATGTTATAGTTGTTGTTACAATGTTGTTTTTAATGAATGTTAAGTAATGAGTAATCACTCTAGAAAGCGTGTATTTCAGACACCGTTGTTTAATTATTAATGTTAAACACTAAACTACACACATTTGAAGTAATCAAAGGTACGTTAACTACGTTAAAATATTTTGTCGCATTAATCTCGGCCACATTAATCGCATAGATTAACGCGTTTATGTTGACAACCTTAATCCAACCACATCAAACCAAAAAGATGATCCTCTCCTCGTGAAGCCACGTCTCCACCAGGGTCTCCAGACATTGCGTCATGCTCACCTCATCAGGCTATCTCCAAGGAAGTCCATCCTGACGTTTAATTTGGCTTCTTGCTTCCTCGACGACGTGAAGTCCTCTCCCCTGAGCTCTCGGTCAGAGCTCCTCCTCCTCGTTGGTGGTGGTGTGGAGGACGAGGTGGAGGGAGATTTTGCCACCTTCCTGGCTTTGCCCCCAACGTCGGGGGACAACCTCTCACATTTTCTCGCCAACTCCCTCTTGGCGAGGGCGGCCGCGACGCCCGCTGCTTTCCCCTGCTTTCGAGTGAGATGAACGTCCTCTGTGGCGTCGCGGTCGACCGCCCGCGAGAAGGTCACATTCTGCCACTTACCGAAGCGTTCATCAAAGAGCTCCCCGGCTGACTGAGGGACCTTGATCTTCGCCTTTAAGGACCCGTCCCCGTTGTGCCAGTCCCTGTGAAGCGGCTTTAGATGAGGCTTGTTCACCGCCTCCTCCTCCTCCTCCTCTTCCTCGTCAGCGGACAGAAAAGGAGAAGCCTTCAAAAAGCTCCTCAGGGACACCTCGGCATCGGGGTCCTCTCTGTACTTCCTGGAGTCCGAGATAATGGTGGTTGTTTTGCTCTTCATCCTCCCTTGCTCCATGTCCACGTCATTCGCTTCGGTGTTCTTGCCGTTTTCAAAAGCTTTAGCTTTTTTTTTTTTTTGCTCCTCCAAAAACCTAAACAACGACAAGAGATAAATAGATGTATCTATCTGACCGTGCAACTTGTGAGACAATGAAAAAACTAGCAAGGTGTTAATGTTCAACATTTTGAATGTACTTTTTTTTCCCCCTGGTGTTTTTTGTGAAGAGTAATTTAATGCAAATTAAAAATGCAAATATTCACAATCTACCCTTTAATGGTAATCTGTTATGTCTACTCAATGTGACAGAGAAAAAGTCAGTGAGGCACATGACTCAAGCCATTATTTACCCCATATCTGTACATCTATAAAGTTTGTTTAGTCCTATGAAGCAATCAGAGAAGCCTAAAAGCATTCTTACTGTCTGAAGGCCACGGATATTGCTGTTTTATCTCCGTCCAGGTACTCCTCGCTGGAGAAGAAGTCGTAGCTGGAAAGCATCGGATTCAGACCTTCGTGTAGTATCTTTTTGGTCGAGGATGAACTACTACACGCCATCTTCCAGGAGGGGGCGCCGTTGCCGATGTCATTTGTGACCTTAGGGGAAGGACCGCACTGGCTCGTCGTTTGGCTGCTCTGACCAACGGCGGCAGCAGCAGCACAGCTCGCCACGGGACTCGCTCCCTTTGGACTGCCGGTGCAGTTCCCCTCTTTGGCATCTCCTTCCAGCCCGGCGAGCTCCCCTGGCTCCTCGCCTCCCCCTCCTCCCCCCTGAAGCTCCCCGGGGGCACAGAGCTCCTCTTTCTCGTCTTTGGGGCCCTGGTTAGTCTGCGGCACGGTTGGCTTCCATTTGGGAGAGGAGGAGTGCGAGGAAGAGGAGGAGTGCTGGGAGTGCCTGGACAGCGGCGAGGGGGATCGGTCGGAGTGGTTGGGGGGCCCGCGGGGGGGGCTTCCCGAGCGCTGCTGGGGATTGTGAGGGCGTCCTCGCGGCTGGTTCTGCTGCTGTGGTCTCTCGGGGTACTGCTTGTAATTCTTCCAGTTGGGGCGGAAGTTGTTGTTGTTGTTGTGGTTGCCGTTGTTGTTGTTGTTGTAGTCATAGCCGCCGCGCTGGTAGCGTCCGCGTGGGAAGAAGCCCCGCCCTCGGCCCCTGAAGTTGAACGGCCTCCGGAAGCCGCGGTGGAATCCCCGGAACTCTCGACCGTTGTGGGAGCCCCTCTGATACTTCTTCTCCCGGTGATGAGACGGAGAATGAGACCTGGACCACGACCGAGACCTGGAGCTGTGAAGAGGAGCACGTGGACGTCCCTTAATAGGTCACGGTTAATGAGATCTCAAGAATAAAAAAAAAATCCAATCTAACGGAGGACGTCCTGAATCGGTAACTCAAGCTCTGAAGATCCAAGACGCTCTCACAAAATGTAACGTACGCTGAGCAGAGAGAACCGACACGGTGCAACCTGGTCACACAGTTTATTGAAAGAACGAGATGTTGGCTATTGGCGCAGTAAAGAGAGGTGGAGACTATGAAACGATGAAGGCCCCTGAAGATAAGTGCACACAGCGACGACCACGTAGAGAAAGCTTGAGCTCACGTTCTGATGCAAAGTCGCACGAGGCCACACGGTGTCTCTGCTGCACTTCTGCTAAGAAACCTGGTGTCATTCTAGACGGCGAACCTCAAACACGAGCTGCAGATCGCACCCCTGATCCGGCAAGTCCTCTTCAATGATCTGGATCACGCCAGAATGCTCTTTTTAACCGCTTCCACAACTTTCCGCGGACCTCATTGAGAGAAAGTCCCAACGCGACTGAGACACGTCAAAGTAGTTTTTCTTTTTCAATGAGAATCTTTTAACACAAAGACTTGCTGAAACGCGAAAGCACATTTACATACATGCCGGCAAAAGGGGCCAGAGCAGCATCGCACTACACGCAAAGACTATAAAAAAAAACGACTCACCCAGTATGTTTTTGCATTGGAATACAGATCGAGAAAAGAAAGTGGCGCACTGAGCCACACTGCACACCCACATTGAGAGCTACAGACACTTTGTCTCCTCTGGCCAACTGCAGCGGCGCACAGAGTCACATGGACCATCCGAGGGAGGAAAGAAGTCTTCTACTCCAATCCGCCATGGCTGCCTGCTACACTGGCTGCTCACCGTTACTGTAAAGTACTATAAGCGTCTCGCCGTGTCACATGTGATATGACTTATCCGACTTAGGGGACTCATTTCGTGTTTTGCTGCAGTCTGCATCTGTGGCCCGTTTAACTAGTGACTAATAGAATATATGGTAACAGTCTAAGGATTCGTTATTAGTCATCAGCACGTGCAACATGTTGGAGCTGTGTTTCTCCTAAGACATCTAGAGGGATCATACGTGTGAATTTTTGCATGCGGGCCTGCACAGTTCTGTGTGACCGCGGAGCAATTTGCACACGAGACCGGGAAGAGTAAACCATTAGATCCCTTCCGTGTCCCTTCTTCGTGCTCGCTTCAATAAGTGCCGGCAAATGAGCCGCACCGGCATTTCGTCAACCTTCACTTCCCTCTTTTTTTTTTTTTTTTTCCCCAACATCGCACATCGCATCCAGCAGATATCCAACAAGCAGGACCTGTCTGTGTAAGCAAACCAGCCGGCAACCAAATCCGCACCTTCTGAATGGAGATTTTCATGTGCCGACGAGGTCCGTGAATATGAAAATATTTTCCCACGAAACATAAACTGAAACAACGTCAATTAACAAAAGGCCCAATTGAGCTCTTTCTGAAACCAGAAATTTCCCCTCGATACCGAAGCGGAGGTTTGTTGTTGGAGTCCAACCGAAACCCATCAATACTCTTCACGCTCTCAAGGTCCATGAGAACCAAAGTGATAAGGTCGAGGACGAGAATCAATTCACATGTCGCCAGCGGGACAGCCCGACTGCAACAGGACACAAAGCTAACAACGCCGGCACAGTGGGTCTACCTGTTGTTATCTTTTTACATGTCAGATCGTTAAGATTAAGAATCAGAGTAGAAACGGGATGATCGACACTGTCTGTCTGTGCATGACAAGGTTGATCCGCAGCACCTGCTGCTCCGTTTCTTCATCACACTCATTCTCGACACTGAATACGTTCAGCAGCCTTTTGCTCTCTTAACTTCACCACACAGCCGATTAGCTTTGTTGAGGAAAGGAGGACAGTTCACAGAACGGGACCCTACCGGCGGTGGCGCTTCCTGGAGCGGGATCTGCTGCGACTCCTGGAGCGGGAGGTGGAGCGGGACCCGGATCGGGACCCGGATCGGGATCTGGTGCGGCTCCGGGACCTCGAGCGGCTCCGGGACCTCGAGGCGGATTTTGTGGCTCTGGACATGGCAGGGCGGCCGGCACACCTCAAGCTGTCGCACAAAAGGGCGGTTGCAGACGAGTCAGGAAGAAAATATATGTCCCATTACCATTCCAGGGCATTGGCTGCATAGAATAAACAGTAACCATTGACTATGACCCAGGAAGAAAACATCTAAATAGACAAAGTGAGGGAAGAGTCACGGATTGAGTAAAGATGAGTCCTCTGAGATGCACTTCAGAAGCTGAGGGAAGAATCGCAACAGCTGTGAAAGAGGGAGAAGGCGACCGTGCAGAGCATCCAAAAAGAAGCAGCTGTATTCGCTCGCTGCTCGTTTGCATAGTGGGCCGTCGTATGTGCGTCATCTGACTGCTATCAGTCGCGGTGGGCGCGCTGGAAAATTGGGTGATGCTGAAACATTCGCTGTGCAGTTTAAACCCAAATGAGAAATACCAAAAGCGTGTTCGGTACTCTTTTCCTTCACTCACTGGATTCCCTGCAATGATTTTCCCGTAAACAAGAGGCAAATCTCCACAATGCACTGCGGTCCTCGTCCACCACAGCACACTTCTCGTGCCTAAGAGAACAGATATGGCTCGCGGTATTCCAGCCAAACGGCCGATCGGCTGATCATTTTAAGGAGGTAATAACCAAACATGTGATTATGCCCCTGAAACGGCACGCAAAGCCGCTGGGCCGATACAAGTTTGTATTTTCATTGTTCTTTGGCATTAAAGGTGCTGCTGACTGTTGAACTGGGCTGTGAAACCTGCATAGTTCACCTCACTAGATGTGGAAATAAGTTTATTTCCTCTGTAGCCAGTTTACAATGTAACATTCGGCTGTGAATCTGCAGACAGCCCCTGCACACGATCATCTATGACACATGATCCCCGGAGTGCAGGGCGCGGCCAGGGGTCAAATAAAATGTTCTTTCATCCTCTTCAGGGACTTTTGGACGCAGGAAATTGCCGAGCGCAACAAAAGCAGCGCGCGCCATCGCAACGAGGGATCCCGGCGTGCCCCCGCAGCTACTACTTTGGAGAGCGCTGAAATGCATCCGTCCCGGGGCCGGGGCCTCCACCTCGCGCCCTGCGGGCTCCCCGCGCTCCTCCCTCCCGGCGGCTTGTTGTTTTTGGCTTCCACGGGATCATTTCCTGAGGTTCTAGCCTCAACAGGCCGTCGGTTGAGCTGACGGTGCACATTTTGCTCAGCCGTGCCCCTCTTTTCCAGCACATGGTGGAGAAAACGGAATGATGAAGGAGTCCCACCAAGTCTGCTTAATGTTGCTTTAGGGAGCAGGGGAAGTTGTTGAAGATTAGGAAGAATTTATTGGCAGAAATGGAATATACTGTTTTTATTCCCTTGAGCGAAGTATCTTTTTTGGAATGAGCCATCGACGTGTACGTACGGAGCCATTCTTCCTCAAGGAACCAGTCACGTCGCTTTGCCATAATTCTACCCGTTTTTTACAGCTCACAGAGGGACGGGTGCTCGATTGGTTGAAATTTGCACCGTCGCCACTAGATGCCACTGAATCTTTTACGCCGCTCTCTAAAATCGCATTGGATTTTTCTACATTCCTTGCAAAGGTTGAAAATGAAACCTCATCAGAAACTCTGCGGAACTCCAGTCTATCCAGTTCAGAATAAGGCACCTGATTCCCTGCGAGTATGTAAAGGGCGTACGTGCATCCACCGCGCGACCCCGTTTGTGAAACCGAGCGGTAAACCTTTGTTTCGTTAGCGTTCAATTAGCTGCTTGGTGGATATCCAGCGGCAGGAGTCACGCCACACCAGGTGTATGCGCTCGTCCCCGGGGTTTAAGCCTAGGGGTGAGCCAAATCATTAGTCTCTCACCACTTGGTAACATCCAAAGAGGCCGGTCGGCACGTGTCCTACCTACTCGTTGGGGGGGCGTGCGGCCCCCCCCCCTTTGCCACATCCTGAACGGTGAGCCGAAAAGCCGTTTGGGTTGTTAGGTGACCAAAAGGATAAACTTCCCTCACAAAAAGCATCATCCTGAAGTTATCTTCACCTGGTCACGCGTTAAAACAGGTTTGTTGAGTCGAGTCTTTAATGCCCGATGCCTAGAATAGAAGGTTCAGGGGACACACTCTTGTTTTAGGAGCCCCCCCCCCCCTTCCTCCTTACGCGTATGGAGCGACAGCTGTGTAATCCTCATCAGCTGCCTATTTCGTGTAACAGCAGAAGTAGCCCTGATCAACAATGGTCCAGAAACCCGATACAGAGCTCAAAGCGTACGAGAAGAAACACCCCACTCATCGCTAAGACTCGGAGGCCGCAGAGGCAGCTGGAATCACACTTTCTATCTATACGTACCCCCCCCCCCCCTCCTCCCTCACCAAAGCCTCAGCAACTGTCCCTGGCACAATCGTGCGTTATTGAAATGTGGCGGCCCCTCTTAGTGCTCCCCCAAGACTCTCCCGCGTGGCACTTAATGCATAGCGGAGCCGCTGGACGATAAACCCTTGAGCTTCCTTCGTGGGTAATTGAATAAAAATAGAAGCTTATTCTGGAACAGCCTGAACCACGTGACCAGCGAGTGTGTGTGCGCGCTGCGTGTTGTTTGCCTTCAGGGAGCCGCTGTAACTGCCGGCGAGACAAAACGGGTGATTTCACGCAGGGATCCGGCAGCACGACTATTTGCTCATCGTCCCCGACGACAGACGAGGACACCTTCGTGCGGGACGTTGTCCTCGGGTGAATCATTGGCGATAAAACACTGTTTGTGCAGTTTTATCGTCGTTTAGATGCATAGTTGAAGGGCATCGTCTGTCGCTGAGGCACCCCCCCCCTTACACACACACACACACACACACACATGCTCCTCCGCTGTCCGTCATCACCACATTTGTGGATCTCTGCTGCAGAGAAGAGGGAACCTGTCATTCCTAATGTCTCTCTATTTCGGTAAGTGGGGAACAGCCCCCTCTGCCCCCCCCTCCCGATGACCACGGGTCGTAAAAAACATATTTCTAAAATGTGCACAGTTGTTTGAGTTTTCCAGCGTCTTTAAGTCTCAGCGTGAGAAACCGTTGGCGTGACTCGAGTTCATTTCGGGTCACATGTTGTTCAATCTTTCTCATTTTCTGCACCGGCTCCTCCAGACATTAAAATGTTGTGCGTCTTGTGTCAATGTTGGCAACACATTGAGGCCACATGCATTAAATGAAGTCTACATAAAGGTTATCTAATGCTACTTCTGTTTGTGCAACATGGGCACACCTTTGTGTGTCTACGTCAGTGCTGCTGGTGTTTGCTTCAGAGAGTCGACCTCAACCGAGACTCGCGGGAAATCACACGATAACGTTATCAACGTTTTCTTCTCTCTTGGGTCACCGGACGACTGGAATAGTTTCCTTTTTGAAGCGAGGAACCCAGGAACACAGGAAACTCTCCCGTTTCCCCGGAGACGCAATCCTTAGCTGGGATCGACATGTAGGGCTTGGTTCCAGGTTCTACATGTTTACGGTGGGGGGGCGAGGTGGGGGGGGGGGCAACTTGGAGAAACCTACAACCACAACAGCCGGAATAAAGTCAAGTCAAACAACTGGTGCACTGGCTTCCTCCTTCGGTCCTCCGGTGGGTTCAAGATCCCTAAACAAGTTCAAGACATGAACTTTGACTTCTGAGCCTCCAGCTAATTATTCGACTACTTCTCCACTGGTCGAATGACGTCACCTCCGTCCGAGGGGAACGCGTATCAGAGCCAGCGGGCTCGCGCGTTTGATTGGCAGCTCATCCTCCCGGAGCTTCCTCACGTGCACCCACCCGCACGCTCCGCTGTGCGTCTTAACGCACGCGCGGCGACGACGCGCTCATCGAGCACTCAACGCCGGGAGATCATGCGCGCGGTCACGCGCGTCACTGAAACGTGAATTCGCTGGTAAATGACGTCCCGCTGGTAAATGACGTCCCGCTTGCGGACGGTCCGCGTGCTGCCGCGCGACGATCCTTTTCCAAAACACACGATTGCGTTGACATGTGTCCCCCGTCCACGTCCCACCGTCCTGTAATCTAACGCAACGAACGGAGGGACGCGTGGACTACTCACCGGTCGGCGTGGTCCTTCGGTGTCTCCGCGTCACATCCACGCAGCAATCATTCCTCCGTCGTCTCCCCGTTGTTTAGTTGTGCGCCCGCGCCGATGCGCCTGGCGTA